ACAAGGACCGTACACAAAAAGGTTGCATATCTTAAAACAGTTGGACAGGCAGAAGATTTCTCAGAACACAACATAAAATGTCTAACGCAAGCAATTTGGAGGTTGAAACAGGTAACTTTGTTTTCCTCAAGGAAGAGCATATGCCTATCTATAAACCTCAACAATGATGTCCCAACCAAATTCCATCAAGAAAACAGGATCTATCCCTGCTCCAAGCTTCTAACAATAGAATAAATCAACAGAATGACCCTAACCCAAACCCTCAACAGTCACCCTAAATCAATTTAGGGTTAATGATATCACACCTTACAGTTCTTCGGTTGCTCATCTAATGTGGACTCATGAAGCATCTGTCATTAAACTTGTTCTAGTCTCACTAATGGACAGAAAATTCATGAAGCATCCAACAAATCCATGAATTAGAGAAATAAAAAATAATGCTGTATGAGTATTATAAAAAATGAACTGTTTAAGTTCCCCGTTACAAATCACCGTAATTTATAATGAAATGTTTCTTAGAGTAAATAACTTCATAAAATTAAAAAATAACTTCTTCGAGTAAAGATACTCACAACCATTACACAAAGAAATGAAATCAGAAACCTATTCAAGCTTTAACATTAAGCAAAACTGCCAAAACTCCCAAGTAATTTCAACCAAAATTATTCTAAAATCAATGAACAAAATTTTTGACCAATTTCAAAATTATCTCATCTTATAGGCAAGAAAAATCTTAAAAAAACATAAATAAACAGAGAAAGAAAACTTAGGGTTTAGTGTAGGAACTAACATCTCTGGGGACCGGGGCCACCATCAGAGCCGATAGAGTCGAAGTCTCGAGAGGCGAGATGGGAGTGGCGGTCGGCGTCGTCCTGGCGGAAGCCACGGCCTTTAGTCTTCTTAGGGCCAGAAAGAGAAATGGAAGCGCCGCCAGTGATGGCTGACTTGAGCTTAGGCATGGAGGCTTGAGGGGAGGCGTCACCGCCGCCGGCGTCCTCGTCCATGAGATCGTCGTCCTCCGGCTCGAAATCCAAAGCCTCCACGTCAGCACTCGCCATCACGAGATCTTAACGTGCGATTCTGCCCTTTATTACTCTCGCAAGATGTAAATGTACTTTTGTCCCTGAAGCCTAAGCAGATTGAGTTTTCTAAGAATTTAACTCAACTTAAAATAAGGGTAAATTACACACCGGTAGTCACTAGCTTATTAATTTATTATTTTAGTCATTAAATCAATTTTTAAAACAAAATTTAACAACTACAATAATATAATAATTTTAAAAAATCACGTCATCTCTTTTTTTCTTATCGACAACTTATTTATTATCTTTTAAATATTTTTATCAGGTTAATATAACAATATTATATGACAATATCTACATTTTGTTAGATGAGACATTAATATATGATATGAAGTAATAAAAAGTAAAGACAACAATCACAATATTAATAATTAATTGATTCAATACGATAAAATATTAAATCTTTTAAATATAAGAAGACAATTTTTTCAAGTTTTCATATTATAAATGAAACAAATAAAAAATTTATAAAAAAATAAAATTAAAAGGATAACCCCAGTATAAATCTTAAAAAAAACAGCAATCCCGTTGATAAAATCAGCTCAAACAAAGAAATTGGTAGAAATTAAACTTTGTTGGATGTTCTTCAACAGACAGCAAAACATGTCTTGGCCAACAGATTTTTTCGTTGCATTTCCAACAGATTCCATATGACAAAACTCAATGTATGTTCTTTAAAAATCCTAGAACCCTTCCCCATCAAATCACCTACAATTTCTACACCAAAGTCCGAGTTTTTTTCTATACATCTTCTTCCTCTAGTAACCTTTTCTTTAAACCCTACCAGAATATCAAAATGGGCGGCTGTTGTTCGAGCCGAGAATGCAAAGGCGAATCGGGTGATAACAAAGACTCCTCCACCGTGCTCGGCGGCACTAGAAACGACAACCCCACCTGTTCCAATTCACAACAGACTTCCTACAAAACAGTGCCTTCGTCGTCTCAAGGAGGAGCCTCGACCAGGATGGGAGCGATCGGGCCGGTGTTAGGCAGGCCAATGGAAGACATCAGAGCAACGTACAGCATCGGGAAAGAATTGGGGAGGGGACAGTTCGGGGTGACCTATCTGTGCACGAACAGAGCAACGGGGGAGCAATTCGCTTGCAAGACGATAGCCAAGAGGAAACTGATTAACGAGGAGGATAGGGAGGATGTTCGAAGAGAGGTTCAGATAATGCACCATTTGACGGGACAGCCGAACATCGTGGATCTCAAAGGAGCTTACGAGGATAAGCAGTCGGTTCATTTGGTGATGGAGTTGTGCCGCGGCGGAGAGCTGTTCGATCGGATCATATCTAAGGGACATTACACAGAACTCGCGGCGGCTGCTTTGCTACGAAGGATCGTTCAAATTGTTCACACTTTCCATTCCATGGGAGTCATCCATAGGGATCTCAAGCCTGAGAATTTCTTGTTGTTGAGCAAGGAAGAAAACTCTCCCCTCAAAGCCACGGATTTCGGTCTTTCAATCTTTTTCAAGCCAGGTATTCTTTCACATGACCTAATTTTCACTTAATTATTTTATTTATGTTACAAGTTACATATAATATAGAATTAACCTTAATCTTATAATCTATTTATAAAATTAATTATTAGATAATAAAGAAATTTTAGATTACGAAGGCGTGACAAACGGACAATCTTCACATCCATAATCGATTCTCATTGTCTCATAATTTTATTTATTCAACCAATAGAATTGCACTCTAAACTTTTCTAACCGAATCAATGGAACTTAAATTATAAACTTCAACCGTGCAAACCCTTGCGAGTAAACCTAAGATTTAATCTTGATTTCGAACAGGACAAGTATTTAAAGACATTGTTGGAAGTGCATATTACATTGCACCAGAAGTTTTGAAGAGGGGATATGGACCTGAAGCTGATATATGGAGTCTTGGGGTTATATTGTATATTCTTCTTTCCGGTGCTCCTCCTTTCTGGGCTGGTAAGTTAATGATATTCTCAGTCTTAGCTAACAGTTTTTTTTTTCAATATTCCATATGTATAGTAATGAATAGAATCATGGAGCTTGAAACTACATGGTTATATTTTGTTTGATAGAATCGGAAACCGGGATATTCAATGCAATACTGCGAGGCCACGTTGATTTCTCGAGCAAGCCATGGCCTTCAGTTTCACCACAAGCAAAAGATCTTGTGAAAAAGATGCTAAACTCAAATCCCAGTGCGAGATTAACAACCGTCCAGGTTCTAAGTAAGTATATGTACGTATACCTCAATGTTTTTTGTGCTTTGAATTCGTTAAATAACGTCGAGCCATATGCTTTGGTAATTAGATCATCCATGGGTGAAAGAAGATGGTGAAGCACCTGATAAGCTACTCGACAACGAGGTGCTAAGCAGGCTCAAGCAGTTCAAAGCAATGAACCAGTTCAAGAAAGTCGCTTTGAAGGTACTAGATCGTACGAGTATTTTAAAAAACTTAAATATTGGTATCCAACACTCGCACTCGAAAATCGAAATTCGTAGGTGATCGCAGGGTGTTTATCGGAAGAAGAAATAAAGGGATTGAAGGTGATGTTTAAGGGAATGGATACCGACAACAGTGGGACGATAACACTTGAAGAACTCAAGCAAGGACTTGCTAAGCAAGGGACAAAGCTCTCGGAATATGAAGTTAAACAGCTGATGGAAGCAGTAAGTCTTTCTTTCCCAAACGAATCTCATATATATATATATATCGATTTAACCGATTAACTTTAATTCGATTCGAATATTATAGGCCGATGCAGACGGGAATGGAACGATAGACTACGAAGAGTTCATCACAGCAACAATGCATATGAACCGAATGGATAGAGAAGAACATCTCTACCATGCATTCCAGCACTTCGATAAAGACAATAGCGGGTCGGTAATCTTCATAAAACTAATTACCCCATTATTATCTAAACCCTAATTATTACATTTATCTTCTTCCCTTTTCCTAAGAATCTGAACACAATATATATATATACTTTTGTGTTTGTTTCAGGTACATCACGAATGAAGAATTAGAACAAGCTCTTCGTGAATATGGCATAATCAATCATAAAGACATCAAGAAAATTCTTTCTGAAGTAGACACTGATAATGTAAGCTATATATATATATATATATCACTTCAAACTATAAATTCATGGCACACACATGCATAGACTTCATTGCTTAAATATGTATACAAACGTACGTTAAAGTATTCACATCAGTTTATACTTGTTCTATGTTTTGATTACATCTGTTGTGAATGTGTAAATATGATATTAAAGCGTATTGATCTTATGCGTTGAATCTTAGATAAACGTATGGACAAAAGAACAAGTTTATGTTCAAATGTTTTGGTATTTTTGCAGGATGGAAAGATAAATTATGATGAATTTGTGGCAATGATGAGGAAAGGAAACCCTGAACCACACCTAAAGAAGCGACGTGGAATATTCATTTGAATTTTTCATCATCAGTTAAAATAGAGTGAAAAAAACAGTACAAAATGGATATGTGCATGCATCGATGCATTTGAAACCATCTATATGAAACACGTGTGGTTTTATGCAAGTCGTTAGTGAATCGGGTATTTACAAAGATTAAATGGCATAACTTCATATATTCACTAACCGTACATAAATCTGATGTGAAAACCAAGAGAATGGGAGTGTATGTTCATATATTGAGGGGGTGGCTTAAATGATTTTTTTCTTTTTCCTTATTATGTAAAACAAAAGTTTTGGAGTGAAATGAAGGATTGTCAAATTTATTGTATATTCCGATTACACTTTGTTAATTCGACTCTAGTTATAATTATTCAGATTTTTACAAATAAATAAAAAAAGATTGTATCGTGTAAAACTGTGAGGCCTTTACAGGCCCATATTTTCATGGACTATTAGCCCAATAATCTCATATTTATCCATGAAATAAATCCTCCGCCTGTAACCTCCAAGCTCCGCCCATAAAGCCCTCTCTGCTTCGCCGATCTTATCAATTTCTTCTGCTCAACCTTAACCTTGGCTGTTCTCTTCAGCCCAAATGGCATCAATTAGTCTCCGCAAGGCGAACACCCGCCTACCGCCAGAAGTCAACCGGGTGCTCTACGTTCGAAACCTTCCATTCAACATATCGAGCGAGGAGATGTACGATATATTCGGAAAATACGGAGCCATTCGCCAGATACGCATCGGGACCAGCAAAGAAACGCGCGGCACCGCTTTTGTCGTTTACGAGGACATATACGATGCCAAAACGGCCGTGGATCATCTCTCGGGTTTTAACGTCGCCAATAGGTACTTGATCGTGTTGTATTATCAACAGGCCAAGATGAGCAAGAAGTTCGATCAGAAGAAGAAGGAAGAGGAAATCGCTAAGATGCAAGAAAAATACGGCGTATCTACTAAAGATAAGTGAAAACCTAAATATCATGGGGATGGTTGGTTGATTTGGGATTTTAGGGATTTGTATGAACTATTCGAATGAAGAGCCTAATATCTAAAACCCATGGCATATGTTGTTTGACTCGTGTTTAAAGTTTTCTTAACGATTGGCATGTGTTTACAAACTAGCTTTGAAATTTGTATTTGTTATGGAACCTTAAGTTACAGCATGTTAATTTACTTGGCGTTTTAGAATCTAGTAAAGGCTTATTTTTTAGGTTTTGTTCTTAGTATATGCAATGTCTAGGATAGATAGCTTATAGATGTCAATCAAACCTATGTTCACATTGTGGTTTTGGTCATAAAAGAATTTATAAAATGATCTATTATTGAGTATAAAAGTTAAATAAAATTTAATGATTAAATTGTAGTAGCTTGATAAACTCAATACTAATTACTTCGTAATTTAAAAGTTTAATGATCAAAACAGTCCTTTGAACATACTGAACAATAAGCAAACCCTACTCGCATTCAATCTTTGATCTTCTCTCTCAAGTCCGGATAAGGAATGAGCCATTTTAAGGATTACTCAAAAAGGCGGGGACAAAGGAAGGTGAGGGGATCGTTGCATTTCATCGTATATGTCCTTGCCCCCCTTCGGTAGCCTCTATCTAGATATGCTCGGACAACGCATTAGGGCTTTAAACAAGCATATCGAGCTCAAGTATTCTTGAGTTTAACTCGACTAAAAAAATTTAAAATTGAGCTCGACTCGAAAATTCGTGGTTTAATATTAGCAAGTTTGATTCGAACTCGAAATAAAAAATTAAAACTCGACTTGAGCTCGAATTTTTTTAACTCAAACATTTTCAAATCTTGTTCGGCTGAAATTAAAACTCGAGATCTACCTTGAATCTCAAGTACAAATATATCTTATATTGCATTTAAATAAAATATCATATAAATGTTAATATTTTTAATTTAAAAATCTAAAGATTTAATATATTATTTTTTCGAATTGTTAGTGAACATTTTGAGCAATATTAAGTAGTTCGTTTTAACTCGTTAAGGATTCGAGCTGAATTCGAGATTGAGTCGAGTTTATTCGATTTAAGTATTGATTGAGCTTTGATCGAATTTATCTCAAATATATCTCTACAAAGCATCATAAGCCATATCCCAATAAAAGAACATATCAGGACGGCACCATATTTCTTTACGCACCACATCACACGACTGAAAAACAAAACAAAAGCTTAGAAGTAAAAACGTGGTGGAATAACGTATAAGCATGCTAGGATGGATCAAGGGGCCGAATGAAGGCATTTGTCCCTTGAAATTTTAAAATTATTATATATTTTAATATTTTTATGTATTTTTTTATTAAAAAACTGTTTTTGACCTTCTATAATTTTATAAATTTGTCAATTTACATAAAATTTTACATCCGTCTCATGTAATTCGAGTAATGAGCACCTACGATATTCAAACTCAAGAGTGAGTGTTGTAACTGTGTATGATTCTAATAGTATCCTCAATGTTTGTCTTGCATCCATGTCGAATATGTATCAAAAATAGATATTTAGTCATAAAAAATAAGAAAATAACATAAACGATGATTATGATATATTACAATCTAGAAATCGGATGGAACCATGCCAGCCGCAACTAATAAGAAATTTTATCGTGCATGAAATAAATTACCTCAGCGATTAAATGAATGATTGTTATATTTAAAAGTCCTTAGTTTTAGCTCTAGAGATTACAAGGGTGTTCGAGTTTTTTATTATCAAATAATTGAGAATCTTTAGAACATATATTACATTGTAATCACCTTAGATTAATAAAAAATAAATAAAAATTTCATCGTAGATGCCTATCACGCATCAGAATCTAAATTCACAAATTATTCTTAACAAAAGAGGTACCATTAGTAAGTAAATACAAGCATAAATTCATAAAATTATATTTGTGAATCCAGATAAATAAAAATGTAAACATTTAACCTGTTGTTATTCCTAAAATGGAATGAAACTTGTATCAAAGTGATATTTTATTAAATACAGGTCGTATTAAAATATTTACTAGGAGTAAGTTTTTTACGGCATTTGTGCTATTATCTCGTAACAAGAGTGTTACCGTTACATGTGAGCTGGAAGAAAAAAACCCCTCGAACGAGCAAATAAGTGCTCCAAATGTGGTCCCCCGCCAACTGTTCGTTTCCTCGCTCGTGATTTTTGCGCGTGATCATAGCGCGTGCTTTCTGTTATTAACTGAAACGTAGGTTTTCTATACCGCGACCGTAAGAAATTTTTTACTTCTTGGATTAATTCAAAAATTATTATTAAAGTATATTCTATATTTAAAATGTTTTTTTATTAAAATAAATATCTAAAGTATATTATTTTTACTTAAATATATATAATATTTTTAATTAATGATATTTATTTAACTTTGATAAAAAGAAAATATATTTTAAGTATCTATTTTAATAAAAAGTATTTTAAATATATAAATAAAAATTATTTGTATAAAAATTAAGAATGCCACAGACGTGAACGTTAATTATATAAACTTTTTGTTGAAATGACATAAATTATTTTTTAGATTATTGTTTGTTTTAATTTGCTTTTGGATTGTGTTATCTTATGTCACGTATATTAAAGGTGTCACGATATACGTGGGAGTATCTTATGTGTACTTAATATAAAATATTATAAGAGTCTGAACTAAAATGAAAGAAAAGTAAAAATATTAAAAATGTGAAAAATTATATGATTTTGTCCAAAAAAAGAGAACACACGTGATGTTTGTAAAGAAAATATTTGTACGGTCACTAGACGAACAACATGTATGTTTTAGCATTGTCTTCTATCACTTGATGAGTACATATTTAAAACATTATATTCAAACACTTAAAAAACACACACATATATATAAACAATGTGAATTTGAGAAGTTCATGTTCAAGCATAATAATTTTGAGTTGTTAAAGAAAAATCTTAAAATGAAACGAGTATATAATTAATTCGTGTTTTCAAATAAATCATTGGATTCAAAGTACTTTTGAAGCATAGGCTCTTGTGACAGTTCAGAAGCTCCAATTTGTTAGATAGCGATTTCAATCAAATCACCGTAGAATAATATTTAGAATTTGTTATATTTAAGGTTAAATCAAAATCATAAGAATTATTAGATATAAGTATTTATATAAATTGATGAAAATAAAATCTCAATATATATATATATATATATATATATATATCAATTAAGAATACATACACATAAATTTATGCATTAACCTAACCACTGTATTTATTCTCTCAATCTTAACCAATAGAAGCAATTGACATTAATGTATATAAATTGTGCGATAATATCATATTAATTAAATGGATTTTATTTGCTTAGCTACCATTTGTTTTCATTTATTAACATTTACTATAAAAAATTAGATTGACTATTAAAAAAATCCAAACTCTAAATCATGAAATATAATTCATAATTTTTTAAAATAATATCCCCATAAGCTGACGTGAGTAGGTGAAAAAGCACACATTCTATTTCAACCTACTCTAAAATAGAACAAAATATATATGAAAAGGGGGGGGGGGGAACCGAGCAAACAAAATAAGATAAATTAGAAAGAAACAAAGGTATTTGAGGGAAACGCAGTTTGGTATATTTATAGAAAAACCCTAAGCTTGAAGATTCACTTAGTATTTGTTCTAAGCTTTAGATCTTACTTCGATTCCAGTTAACTCACCGATCTACTGCGTCGAGTCAATGCCGAGCACTGGGAGTTCCGCTGAGAGGTTGAAGTGTGGACGACTTTTTTTTTGATTGATTAAATATTTCAATGTTATTCTGCGAAAATGTCGGCTTCGCTGGCGTCATTCGAGCGGCCTAGAGGGGGAGCCTCAAACACGGTAAAATCTATTTATCCCATTTTGTTTTTCAGATTTTTTTTATTTGTTTGGTTTCTGGGAAAGATGAGAATAGAAAACTAAAGTTTTGGATCTTTATATCGTGAATTGCTTGGACTGATTATTTAATTTTCAACTTTTAATTAAAGAATTATATTGCTAGAAGTTTAAAAAATGTTAGTTTCTTAAATTGAATTTAATTTCTCTTAGTAATGTTATCATCATCCAATTTCTAAGAAAGAAAGGCTTTTAAGAGAACTCTAATAGGGAAAAATTTGAAAACTTGAAAACAAAATAGTGATTAACGGTGTTGTTTGGATTATGTTGGAAGTGTTGGGAACTTTAATTCAAACGAAGTTAATATTGCGTCATGTCGGAACAGAAAATTTAATGAAATCCAGATGAGTAGGATCACATAAAAATGGAAAAAAGAGAAGAAAAGATATTCGGAGGAGCTAGGAAATTCGGACCAAAAGCTTTGTGAAATCTTTGACTACATTTTATTCCATTCTCATTGCTACAGTTTTTAAATTTAAGAGCTGTAAGCTGCTCTTCCATTGCATTCTAGAGATCTTAGTTCCCTATAGATGTTGGATGCCTCAATTTTTGATTCACAGGATCTACACTGCTTGGTATTTGATTCGCTGCCTGTAGTCACATTTGAATGTCAACTGTTGGATACATGCACTGCCACAACTTTGGGGTAGTTCATAATTCGTGAGAAAAACAAACTAATTCATTATGTAAATAACTCTTGTTTGATCTATTCAATGGTAGCAAGAAAACACCTATGCCATTTCTTATATAAACATTGTTTCAATCATTTAACTTTTCATAGAATTAGAATTTGGGTTTTAGTGGTACCTACAGTGATGATATGCCATATATGCACCATTAAGTTGATTAATCTCTTATTGCAAGAGTATAATTACCTTTTTACACAAGTCAATTGGTGCACATCCATGACTTCTGACATGTGAGTTTTGCAGGTTTGTAAGAGTGGCCCTCTTTTCATATCATCAAAAGGTTCGCAATTTTTTGTATCACTTTTAATTTTCTTCCCTGCTTTTAAATTGTTTTCTGTATGAGCCTCTGTGTTTGTGACTGTGTCTGTATACTTATACTTGTGTGTCTTCATGAATAAAATACTAAAACGACCCTTGAATTATTTCACTTTTATTAACTAATCACTTAATTTTTATCGCACTCAAATAAACCCTTATCCTTTGATTTAGATCTAAACAAACCCCTGTTTTAAATGT